TTCGACCGCAATGGGAATCCTAGGCAGTTTCCTGTGCCGGGTGTAAAGGACTCACGGTGGTTTCTAAATCGCTTCATCTTCTTCTGGCCATCTGTCATACTCTTTGTTGCGCTGTTCTTGGTCAGCCATTACCCTGCTTTCATTGGCATACCGCTAGCATTGATTGGTTCATACGGTATGCAATGGGGCGCGCAGAAGCTATTGAAATGGGCACCGTCGAATATGAGAAGCATACATCATACTGTAAGTCACACCTGAAATCATGCTTGATCAGTTGCTTACCAATGGGAAGCCCTTTTTGGCTGGTATCTTTGCTGCCACGTTGTTCTGGGTTGGGTTTCGTTGGATTACGACAGTTCTCCCTTGTAAGTTGCTTCGTTGCCGCAATGAGTTTTCATCCGGCTAATGGTTCAAGGGACAATACGAACCAACTTCTTCCTCAATTTGTTGTTCGCGACCTTTTACGGTCTCACAGCGTATTTTTACTTCTTCACCATGACTAGTGATCCTGGCTTTGTGCCCAAGTCGGCGAGCAGGAGCGCTTCTAAGGCCGTTATCGACGAGCTTATGGAGCTTCGGCAATTTGATGAACGCCATTTCTGCGTAAACTGTATGGTGCGAAAGCCTTTGCGTAGTAAGCATTGCAAGCGATGCGAGCGCTGTGTTGCAAAGAGTGATCAGTAAGTATTGGCGCTGTGCAAGCGTAAGATGGAGCTAATGGTCATAGCCACTGTCCATGGGTGAACAATTGTGTCGCGAACAACAACCATAGGCACTTTGTGCTATATATCCTGTCACTGGAAATGGGCATTGTTCTTTTCATCAGATTGGTGCTTGCTTGTAGGTGGACCATGCCTGCGCAGTTGGGGACGTCGCTAATGTATGCAGACTTGGAGATTCGCGAAGCACCAAAAGCCTTTGCAGAGTGTGTTATTATCTCGCCAGAATTATGCAAGGTTTTGAACAAAGACCCATTCACAATTGTGCTCTCGATATGGGCGGCTTTCCAGTTGACATGGGTCACAATGTTGCTGTGTGTCCAGCTTCTCCAGATTGCCCGCAATCTTACCACTTACGAAAGCATGCGTGGACACCTTCATAGCCACACGACTGCCGATGCTATCAATTCATTTGTGACGACGGGCGATACTAGTCAAGAGGTATCCGGTGGCGGCAACGCACCAACAAACGGCTTTGGCTCTGGCCAAGATACTGGCGACGTACCGCGCCGTCCCGAACCTAAAGCGTCTATTCTGGATCAATGGAAGCGTCTCCTTGGCATTGACACTTTTGTTACGATTGCGCTGCACGGAAGCCAGGGCGAGCAAATACGCCGGCGACGACAAGGCAATCCTTTTTCCAGGGGCATTGCTACAAACTGCAAGGATTTCTGGTGCGATGCGAGCCCACTGTTTGGTTCCAAAGAGAGCGGGTACGCGAGGCTGGGTGGCGAGAGGGTGGATTACACCAGGCTATATGAAGTGCCCAAGATGAAGTATCAACGGAGTGGCGGAGGAGACGCGGGCAGGTACGAGAGTGTGGCTGGGGACGAAGAAGCATGATATGTATGTTTGATGGAGCTGTGATGTTAATGACTACACATAGAAGAGAGAAAGAGGCGTAACGTTTAGCGCATGTTTACTACGAGTAGTTCTTACACCAGTCTGTTCTTAGTTTGCTTGGCCTCGGCTACTAAAGTGTTGCCGACATGACCATTTCAGCCACACACCGGAATGTTAAAAGCCGAGGATGCAGCGAGCAAACTCCCCGCGTGTGTCAAAACGGCGTGGGTCGCGCGCACATGCGCAACGCTCCATAGCTTTGCGCTCTTGTCGATGCCACTCTGCGCAGACTCTTCTTCGTGCCATGGTCTAGACACTGCATACTCGTACCGGCCGCTCTTTTTCTTGACTTATCTTTCTTTCTTTCTTTCTTTCCTTGCAGGCAATCAGGCTCTGCGTGCACCCAATGTGCAAAATGACATCATGCGAGGCCCTGCGTGGGCTGAAGACACTTTCGCGATGCGCTGGTCCGATGCCGAGACGGGTCGTGGTCGGACGACACCTCGCAGGCGGTAGTGGTAGGGTTGGTGGTGGTGGGACAAGTAGGGCGATATGTACACAATGCTTGAGGGGTGGGCAGATGAGGAACACGACGGCAGGATCGCTACTTGCACCGGGGGGCCGTAGATGGTATGCGCAGGCGGCAGCGGCAGCGGCAGCGGCACGAGAGTGTATTGGCAGCAAACGTCCCAAGCTTTGGAACAAAGGCTAATTCTGACAGTCTCACCCGAAGACATGGAGAGGCACCACGGCCCCATGGCAGAGTATGATGCGCGTGTCGAGTGCGGCCGGTTGCGAGACGATGAACACCAGCGAAATATCATCAGAAACCTGCAAGACCTACACGACATGTTGACAAACTACACACAACCACCAGTTCAGCAACCTACCGTTGATTCCCTCCAGCCGCCCAAGAAGGGAGGATTGTTCTCTTTTCTCTCCATGTCCAAGCCTGCCGGATCGTCGCTGCCGCCCATTCCTGACTCGCTACCCAAGGGCATTTACATGTTTGGGGATGTAGGCAGCGGGAAGACGATGATGATGGATCTGTTCTACGACACACTGCCGCCCAACATTAGCAGGAAGACAAGGATCCACTTTCATGACTTTATGCAGAGTGTGCACCGAGATCTGCACAAGATGAAGATGACGCACGGCAATGACATTGATGGTATACCGTTTGTGGCAGCTGGGATAGCCGAGCGGTCGTCGGTGCTTTGCTTTGATGAATTTCAATGTACAGACGTTGCGGATGCCATGATTCTCCGCAGACTGATGGAGGGCTTGATGGCACATGGCACTGTGATTGTGACTACGTCCAACAGGCACCCCGACGACTTGTACAAGAACGGAATTCAACGCGAGTCGTTCATCCCATGCATCAATCTCCTCAAAAGCCGGCTTACCGTGCTGAATCTTGACTCGACAACGGATTACCGCAAGATTCCGCGTCCGCCATCTGGGGTGTATCACCATCCTCTGGACGCATCTGCGCAAACCCATGTCGAGCGGTGGTTCCGATTTCTCGGCGATTTTGAACATGACCCGCCACACCCTGCTGTGCATGAGGTTTGGGGAAGGGAGATTCATGTACCCAAGGCCAGTGGCAAGTGCGCCGTATTTAGCTTCGACGACATTATAGGGCGTGCTACAGGCGCTGCCGACTATCTTGAGCTCACTCGACAATATGAAGCGTTTATTGTTACGGGGGTGCCAGGAATGAACTACCGAAGTCGAGATTTGGCTAGGAGGTTCATCACATTTATCGATGCAGTCTACGAATCCAGGGTGAGTGAGGGCGGTTGTAGGGCATGAGGGCAGGACGTGTTGCTAACAAAAGGTGCTAGGCCAAGTTGGTCATGACAACGGCGGTGCCTCTGACAGCCCTCTTTCTTGATGAAGCCGAGCTTAGCGATGCGGTAGCCGCGACGAAGAAGGCGGGAAAGCTACCTGGTTCTTCGTCTTCAGCGTCATCGCAAAAGCCATGCGCAGGCGGCAAGGATGACGAAGAAGCAATTTCAGATGTAATGCGCAATCTCATGGACGACCTGGGCATGAACATGGACATGCTCAAGAATTCGTCCATTTTCAGCGGGGACGAGGAGAAGTTTGCATTTGCTCGGGCTCTGTCTAGGCTAAGCGAGATGGGCAGTCAGGAGTGGGTGGACAGAGGGCTGGGGCTGGAGAAGAGGGGCGGCAAGGGGGAGATGGAGGGATGGCAGAAGGTGAGGTCGAGGTGGAGGGAAGACAGCATGTAGAGCAGAAGTCGAACCATGTCGTAGTCCAAGACGTTGGGTTATGCGCCGAGGCCTTGTTTCTCTGGTTGGTGGTGCGTATGCATGAGTCGCAGCCGAGTGAGTGAATGTATATGTATATGTAAGTAGATAGTCCGACATGTCGGAATGTGTGGAGTGTGTTGGCAAGGGCAAGATGGTGGCCCGCACGCTGCCCTCACGACAAGAAATATGGGGTGGGACGATCACGAGCGAGTCATGGGCTTACATTGATGGGTGCGCGGTGAGGCCAAGATTGGCGGTGATAGCAGGGCATGTGTAGTGCCGCCGCAACAGACCGACATGAGGCCTGATGGTTGGGCATGCGATATGACGATATGTCGTGCTTGGGAGGTGGGCCGTAAAACAACGACATGTAGGGGAGTGAAGGTGGAATAGGCAAGCAGTGTGGTGGATGCAATGCAGGCCATCCAAGGGTGAAGAGCACGTGGTGGCAGTCAGTCAGTCAGCCAGACGCGGCTCCGGCTAGCCGGACAAGTAAGGGCAGAGGATTTGTAGAGGGCAGAACCATATCCATGTGCGGTAGTAGTGAAGTACTTAGTACAGGTAGGTGGTAGGGCAGTCATGCTCCCAAGCTGTGGCGGTGCGGGCTCGTATTAGGCGTGTGCGTGTCAAGCAAGTCGGGAGGGTTGGACCCTTCGGAAACAGGGAGGCAGGGAGGCAGGGAGGCTGACTGCTGGCTGCGTAGACGGTGAGCGTAGCGACAGCCAATGAGAAGCGCGAGAGAGGCGAGTCCGCCATCACATGAGGTTTGGTAGTGCGTCATTGTGCCGCGCCTTAGCAACGCCAGCCGCGATACCCCCATTTCTTAGCCTTCTTAGCCTTCTCCAACCCGCCTTTGCCTCTTAGCAATCCGACCACATGCTTGCTATGCCCTCCCCAACATGGACATGGACTCCCCACACACCCGTCACCTGTTCTTATCGCGCCTCCCCACCATCCTTGACTCCAATGCTCATCCCTGGCTCGCTATCGAATTGCATCCATGTGTGTGTGTGGGGAAAAACTTCCGCGTGAGACGCGTGCTCTGTACACTAACCTTGGGCCGGAGCATATAGTCCGCCTGCCCAATTACTTTTTTTTGGCTTCTTCTCTTCTTGCTCCGTAGACTTCCTTTGCTCCTCCTTGTGCATTTTGGCCTGCCATGGTCAAGTTTAATCCCTGGCGCAAGACGCAACCGGTCGAGGAAAACGGCGCCACTTCCACAGCCGTGGCCTCACAAGAAAATGATGCGCCGCGACGTAGATGGAACCTGGGCATATTGAGCGACCCCGAGACGGACGAAGTGCCTGGTATGTCTCTGCTACGCAATTCTATGTGCACAGCAATCCACCTGACACGATTCCATTTGTAGGCTCCGTCATCCTCCTCTCGCGCGCCCACAATCGCAATGAGCCACTGGGTCTCCAGCACGCCCACGCCCGCACCTCGACCTCGTCACTGCCTACCACACAACGCCCACAACCCCACCGCACAGTCTCACACGGCTCCCGCCACTCCTCGCGCTCCCGCCGCCCAGAGAAGAAGCGTACCAAGGATGGCCGCTTTATCCTCGAGCCCCAGCCCGAGGACTCGGCAAACGACCCTCTCAACTGGAACCAAGTACGACGAGACCTTGCCCTGCTCTCCCTCGGCTTCTACTGCATGGTCGGAGGAGGCATGACGCCTTTACTCGCTGCCGGCTTCAACGACGTGGCCGAGACGTACGACGTGACGATACCACAGGTCGCTCTGACAACCGGCCTGTATATGTTGGGCCTCGGTCTGGGCAGTGTTGTTGCCTCACCCACCGCCATCTTGTACGGAAAGAGACCCGTCTATCTAGGCGCCATCATCCTCTTTACCCTCTCTTCCATCTGGTGTGCCCTGTCGCCCAATTATGCCTCGCTGGTTGTCGCCCGTATTGTCCAGGGTTTTGCTGTCTCTCCTGTCGAATGTCTGCCTAGTGCCACTATCGCCGAGATCTTTTTCCTCCACGAGCGAGCCTACCGCCTTGGTATATACACACTGCTGCTTCTCGGCGGAAAGAATTTGATTCCACTCGTCAGCGCTGCCATTGTACAATCCCTAGGATGGAGATGGGTCTTTTGGATTACGTCAATTGTTGTCGGCTTCTGCTTCTTCCTCATCTTCTTCTTTGTGCCTGAAACTTTTTGGGACAGAGCACCAAGACCACCCAAAAGGCACACCCGTGCTCGCAGCCAGAGCCCTGGTAAACACCATAGCCACTTTCACCTGCCCAACTTGCATCACAAAAAGGCCACAGATGCCTCGCAAGGACAGCAGACAGCTTCGGTGGCGGCAACTCCACAGGTCCATTCCCCTATGGCATCACCGCTAGCCTCGCCTACCGAGCACCCAGTCAAGCGAAACAAAAATGTCCACGTCGGATTCGCCGACCCGGAACCCGCTGAAAAGACACACAATGTGAGTGTAGTCGACGAAAGCACACGCCAAGCCAGCGCTCCACCAACGCCCCATTCCCAAATCAGCGTCCGTTCCACTCCCAAAGAAACACAAGGTCACGACTACTTTGGTCACGTTCCTCCAGCTGTTCAGGCAGATCCGGAAAAGCAGGACCTTCGGGCTCAAGATGGACATGCCACCTCAGACTCTGCCCCTGATAGCGACCAGATTTCGGAACAGTATTCTATCCACTACACCGACTACTATCGTGATGCCCCGCCGAAATCATATCGCGATTCCCTCAAGCCATGGAACGGCCGTCTTGCCAAGGACAAATGGCTTCGTGTAGCCATCCGGCCATTCATACTCTTTGCTTACCCCGCAGTTCTATGGTCGTCGCTCGTGTACGCCCTCGCAGTCGGCTGGCTGATTGTCTTGTCCGAATCAGTTGCGCACATCTATCGGGATACTTCGTACAACTTCACTCCACTTCAAGTTGGTCTTGTATACATCTCGCCTTTTATTGGTGGTGTCCTCGGCACAGCCGTCGCGGGTCGCGTTTCTGATTTGGTCGTACGTTTCATGGCTCGCAAGAACGATGGCGTGTATGAGCCTGAATTCCGTCTCCTCATGGCCGTTCCAATTGCCATCAGTACTGTTATCGGTCTCATGGGCTTTGGATGGAGTGCCGAAGAGAGGGACAAGTGGATTGTACCAACCGTTTTCTTCGGCGTCATCAGCTTCGGCTGCTCGCTGGCTAGCACCACTGCTATTACTTTTGTTGTTGACAGTTATCGCATGTATGCGGGCGAGGCACTCGTCACCCTCAACTTTTCAAAGAGTAAGTCATGAACATTCGCGCTACTGCTCTGCACCGCATGATCTTTGACAGACACTAACGTATTGCTCAGACGTTCTGCATGGTTTCATCTTCTCCCTCTTTTTCCCACACTGGCTTGAGTCCAGCGGGAGCAAAAACACCTTTTTAGCCATTGGAGGTATCCAACTTGGCTGTATGCTCTTTTCGATTCCCATGTACATATACGGCAAGAGAGCCAGAATGTGGACAGTGAGAAAGAATTTGATGGAAAAGTTCTAGAAGAACTTGGAATACGATAGTAGCATTAATAGATTTCAAGACGTCAAGTCCCTTTTTACCAACTTTAATAGCTCCTTCATGATTTCTTATGCAATCCACGATGGCAACCGTGTAATCGTAGCTAGAACAAAAAAAACCGGTTCCAGAGCCAAGGTAAGGAAGCTGTCAGTGCTATTTACTAACTTTTCTTGCGACCAAGACATGTTTAATACATGGTGTGACAGCCTCTTGAAGTCGGCACTACTAAGCTGAACCTTTTGGAGAAGGCGAAACACTTTCATCAGCAATTTACCTGGTTACTCCTGTACATAAGCAATCTCCGTGCCTGCAAGTACTACGCTACTTGTTTTCTCATCGGTACGGCTAACCTAACACGGCTTCGTCTCTGACGTGTTGAGCGACGACGTGTTTGTTCTTCTTTTGACTTGTAAGTCTTGTATTAATGGCACCACTTGACTAAGCCTATACAACATTTTCAATGCTGTGTTCTCACACCGAACAAGGGTAATTAAATCCAAATTTAATAATGATTTAGTGGTGTTCGAAAAGTGTCAAAGATGGGAATTCATTGGGTCTGCGCAACCTATCCAGTAGTGTACAGAGGTTTTGTATTTCTAAGTCTCAAAGCTTTCCCGCAATCAATTCCCAAAGGAAACACCAATGACATAAACTAAAGACCCTCACCTACAACCTTCATACGCAATGCTCAAGCTCTTCACACCTTCACTATATGGCACATCACGTTTCTCGCTCCTCACACTGCTGAAGCTGAATTTCTTCAATACCCTGCAGCAATGTATTCAATTTTACCTTTTCCGGATCTTCATTAATCGCCACCTTGTCTGGTAGAGGCCAGTGGCTTTGAGAGTGCTCTGCCACCAACAACTGGTCCAATTTACTCATTCCCGCTTCTTTGACATGTGTGCAAGCCAGCTGCAAGTCCTGAGGACTCATGGCGCTCTGAAGCTGAGTTGCCAGGAGTGTGCCATTGTGGTAGTGATGACTTTGGCTAGCCAGACCTTGTGCTGAGAGAATCAGAAGCGAACGGTAGCCTGCTAGAATACGAGGATCTATGATTGATCCTGCCTTGAGATCGTCAATGACAGTGTTGCCAATTATAGTCAATGTGAAAGCAACCCAGGGATCGTAAAACTCGAATCCGTGCCGTGCATAGTATATGCAAGAGGCTGTTTCAAGCATGATGCGGGCTTCGTGGAGGGATGATTGGGGGCTCTTTTCTGGCCACAGGGCCGCTGCCTTGGATCTTTCCACACTTTCCGCTTTCACCATCAATTGCGCTATGGCCTTCACGATTTGCCAATATTGGACACTGCGCACAGAGTTAGCGTTGAAGCCATTGTATGGCTATAAGTGGGATTCTCGATAATGACCATGTCGCACTGCGGCAGCATCAGATTAAGGAAATCCAGGCGAAGCCACGTACTGTAACATCAGGTGGGATGGCAGGACAACCTTCTCTGGCTGGAACGCCTCAGGCAATAAATTCTTCCATTTATCGAGCTCCCTTTTGATTACAGCAAGCTCATCGAGAGTAAGCATCTGCGCTGAGGGCCTTCCGAATGTAAGTAGCCCTATATCATTTATGATCTTGTGAAGAGCTGTCTCACAATAGAATTTATATCCAATCGACAATGGCATCGGTCGTGGATCTCGAGGATACTGGAATGACACTTCTCCATACCAATCAGAATGTAGCCTCGGGTTCGGCAACGGCATTTGCGGCGGTTGGCTGAAGTATGGTCGACGAAAGAAGTAATAGTCGAACATGGCCTGCCAAGAAAAGACCGCCCAGGCTGTAAAGAGACGAGCTTTCTCCATCTTTGTGCCAGCTCCCCACTCCTCCGGACCAAATAACCCTAGGTCTTGGCTCATCTCACAAGCCCGTCTCGCATATATGGTCCCGATTTCATCTAAGCCGTTGTTTGTCGAATTGTAGCTGAGTATGAGCGCCGCCTGTATGGTCGGGATTTTGCTCCTGCCCGGCAACGATTCCAAATCCCACAATCGTCTTGCTTCAGCCGTGAATCTATATGTCAGAGACTCTGGCAGCCATACCTTGGAACGGTCTGGAATGGTAGAGCAACTTTGCTACCTCAAGTCAACTTTGTACTGCATTTAGTATGGTATGTGGTTCATACACAAGCATTCGCAAGCATAGCATTGGCCAACAATGGCGAACAAAAGTTAGTCCGGCCCGCAGCCATATCCTCTAAGAATAGATCCTTATGTACGAAAGGACCGCAAGGATGAGGGTAACAAAAGTAGGAGGAAATGAGTCTTCTGAACAGACGATCATCGGAAATGACCTTGGTCCATGGTGCCGCGGTAACTTTCTCCATCAATGGCTCGATCATTTGCGTAGTGTGGTACGGCAGCTCGTACGCGCTAGGATGGATCTCGTCGTCTGCTGCACGTCGGTTGTCTTTGTCAACACCTTGAACTTTGGTTCTCTGACTCGAGTCTTCACTACCACTAGCCGAATGAGGAAACAAGGACCTGTGGTACGGAGAGTCTAGATATGGGTTGCCACCGATGTAGAGGTGGTATGGCATCGCGGTCACTAAGGGGAACTCATATCGACGACTAGTCTCAGGTGTCAATGAGAGCTGCATGAGCAAATTTCCATCCCTCACGAAGCTTACTATGGATGCGGCATCCATACCAGCTTTTAGGCGACGGACAATTTCGGCAACGTCTTGCTCTGGCATACTCCTAATCATTCCGATAAGCTTCTCGTGCGTAGATTCCTGCTTTTGCAGTTGAGCATATCTTTGCCTGATCTGACGTGACTCTGTCTGAGTGTACTGGCAGATTGTTGAACGCCGTATACAAGCGCTGCACGTGGGCGTCCTGCCATCGCACTACAATGTTATTAGCTCTGAAGCGGATGGCTTCCAAGCCATGATAGGTGGTTGACCTTTTTTGGATTTACGGCAACTGTGGCATGCTGCTGATACTTTCTGCTTTGTTGAAGGCGTGGCTGTGGGTGAGGTCCTCTGATACCCCTCGGCTGCTGGCAGAAGTGGCCGTAAAGGGGGCATCGGGACGGTCTCAAGTGTGTTAAGCTAGCGAAAGTCGATAGAGAACTTCCGGAGGTGCTAATTAAAGCCTCTTTATAGATACATGTAAGTAGGAGAATACAGGGTAAATATACTGGCCAGCGTGTGAAAAAAAAGTAAGAAACCGATTGTCTTGTTTCTGTTGCTAGGCTTGGCGACGGACGGAACGCCCGACCAATCAGCACCAGTTCACACAGAATCCGCCGACTCACAACGTCAATAGCAGTTAATCCGCTTCAGCATGATCTTGGGGCCGGTTAGAACAGTAGAGTAGAGATCTTCAAAATAGTTCCCCCATGAGGGGGTAGGGTTATGGTGAAACAGTTAAAGGCTTTGAACACGCATAGCAGTACATGGCTTCTCCAGCTACCTTTCGCAAGGCTTCAATTTAAAACTTATCAAAGAAAATACGTGGCACAGGGAAAATAAATCCTCATTATGGTAACAGATCTATAGTTTACAACTTTCTAGGAAGTAACCTTGTCCAAGTCGGCGGTGGAGGTACCAATCTGGTCGAGTACGGTAGGGATAGGACCGTTCAGGCGAATATAAAAATCACCAGTGTGAGTGACCCTGATATCATGTCAATACTTGTATATCAAATGTTGAATACTTGTTCTTTTACGTACCCGTCAACAGTGTGGTGCAAGCGGATCTCGCGACCTTGTTCCTCAAAAATGTCGAAAGTCCACTCAGGGTTATCGCAGGGGTTGCCCAGTGAGTCGACGGTGTAGTGGTCAGCTGCGCATTTCACTCCATCAACAGAAAGTTGAAAGGAGATTTGAGGGTAGCCATTGACACCGACGTAGACGAAGTTGGAGATAGTGACAGTCTCAACGGCGGCGGCAGCAAAGCCGAAGAGTGTGGCGGCGGCGAGGAACTTCATTGTGAACTTTGAGCGAGTGTAGATTGAATTAGGTTTATGATTATAGTCAACAAGTTGTTGTATGGTAATGAGCTTGGAGGTCAACACCAATGCTTATATACGCAATTGTATGGACGTGCACATGATGTTTGCGGTAATAAGAAGTCCGCCCTAAGGGTATATTTTTAGGGACAGGTGAACAGAGGACGTGAGCACTTGGTGACCAATGACTCGATCATTGCACCTTTCAGATCCTGACGGCCCATGTGTACATGGGAAGACCAGGCTTGTTTGCTAAGGACAATTCGAATGATGTCAGTATATTGCCACTACAGCGTTACATAGTCTAAACCCACCAATAGCTTTTACGAATATTCTCTCCACTAATGTCCCATTAAGCTCACCAAGTTGCAGATCAATATGTAGTGGGACCGGGACTAATGCCAAACTGGTAACAGGCTAACCAAGGACAGTCACACCGTGTTTTTGCCCATGAACGCATTGAGCAACATCTGGCAAAACACGAAGTAATACCCGAGATTCATGCATTGCTATCGTATTCCGTCGTAACGATAAATTTAATTCCAACTTGATACAATCTGCCAGCAGTGAACGTATAAGGTGATTTAGACCATGGACAAGCCAATCGTGAGATCCACTTTGATAATAGCGAGTGATGCTTGAACTAAGCCCTATGAACTTAATTCCGTAGTCAGCGATATGCATTCATTTCTAAAATAGTCGCGATCAACTCTGTAGAAATAGAAATTTACATTTAGTTACGAGTTGTCGCTAATGTAGTGTAAACTCAACGCTTTGTATAGCTTACACTTAATAGTACGCTAGTGAAAAGGTAGAGTCTGTCGCTAGGTAAGGTCTAGGTTAAGTTATATCGTATAGATCGCGGGTAATAGCTAACTCTACTTACTAAGTACTAATTAAAGGTTAATACTCAGGGGTACGCTGGTAAATGGGTACCCCCTACCCGCGGGTTGTGTAGGGTTGGGTTAGGGTCGCACGAGCCTTGGGTAGGTGTAGGGTTGGGTCGCACGGGCCGTGGGTAGGTGTAGGGTTAGGTTATTAATTATATAAGACCCAACCCTACACCTACCTAAGTCTTGGCAACCCTACACCTACACCTACCTATAACTTAGTAATCTAACCCTACCCTACACTAGGCCTATGCGACCTAACTCTATACCTACCTAAGGCCTATATAACCCTAACCTAACCCTATATAACCCGCGGGTAGGGGGTACCTATCTAGTTTAATAAGTATAAATATAAGATTAGAGACTAAAGAAAAATATATATAGAGATTATAAATTATTATATTCTTTAATTATAGTAGCGTAATAGATAAAGGCGCTTCTATAGAGATAGTGGAATATCTATATCTACTAGACTACTTAGTAAGTCGCTACCTTAACTAACTAAATCTATCTCCTTACTCTCTATCTCCTCTATAGCTATAGAGAGACTAAAAAGATTATAAATCTTCTTATTAAACTAATTCTTAAGGGGAGGATTATAACCTTACTAATCTAGCTTATTAGTAATACTATACTTAATAACTAGTATCTAATAGATTATTTAGGCGTTAAGATAATATCTTTAATCCCTAATAGTATCCTTTATAATATTAAAAACTTACTCTATACTAACCTAAGCGATAGGTATAGTAAGGATATCCTTAGTAACCTTAGTAAGGTAAAGATGTGTTAATAAGTTAATACTCTACTATTTTAAAAGATTAAATCTATCTTCTTTCTTTATATATAGAGTACTTAGATATAATTTACTCTCTTAATAGGTTAGTCCTCTTTCTTAATCTATTTCCTAGATTTAGGAGCTTTAGATAGAACTAGATAAGCTACTAGACTATAATTATAGAGTAGAGGGTTTATAAAACTACTTAGAGCCTTATAACCTCTATAGATAGGAGCCTATTAATAATTATTAATGCTCTTAGCTATTATAATAGCTAAGATAGTTAAGAAATTATTCTTAGTATATATACTTATCGTTATAGTCTTAGATATTATCTTAGATATAATATTAATACTTTACTGTAATAATAAACTATAATAAATATACCTTATATATAGTTAGATTTTATATAGGGTCTAGAATACTTACGTAATTAAAAAGGTATCTCTGTTCCTTATTAGTCTTTAAGTAGTATTTACTTAGTTTAGCTTAGCCTTTATTAGCTGCAGCTTAAACTATACTTAGCTAATTAATATCTTCTTAATTCTCTATTTTATTACTAAGACTTATAGTTATTTAATCTAGAAAATTAAAAAGACTATTATATATTAGCTAGATATATTAGATCTAAGGTTTTTTCTTACTTAGATAGCTTATAGCTATTTTAAAGTAAAAGAGTATTTTAGTAAGTATTTCTAAGCAGTGCTATTTAGCTAAACTTAGTTAGAGTCGTTTTAGGTTTCGAAAATTAACTTTAGCCCTATTTAGAATACTCTATAGATAGAATATAGCTCGCTACGTAATCTCTTATTTTAACTAATTATTAATATATAACTAGAGCTTTATTATACACTTATATATATTAAACGTAGAGTTCCATTGGGTCTTTATATCTCGAATCACTAATAGCCGCTCCTTTGGTGGTAGGTGTTGTTGGGTAGCGAGAAATCGCTTAAACTACTAAGGTAATATATTAATTATAATATAGATAGCTTAAAGCTATCTATAATTAGAATATAATAAATAGCTATAATAAAGTAAAATATCTTACGTAGTGAATTTAGTATAAAGATCTAAGTACTAAGTTAATTAGTTTATTAACGCTGCAACCCCTCTATATTATTATTAGGCTTAGATAGTTTAAGGTAGTATATAATATCCTAAATAATAAGGTTAATAATATAGGCTAGGTAGAGGATTATATTCTTATTTTATTTCTATCTAATCCCTTTCTAGCGTAGCTCTATTTAGATCGTCTAGATAAGAGTGCTATTATTACTAGCGTTATCGCACGTAACTCCTAGTAGTCTTTATAGTATATTAGTCTCTAATAGAATATAGAGTATCTTATTTACTATAGATTTTCTAGTATAGCTACTACGAATTAGAATAAAATCTAGAAGTTTCTCTTAGAGTTACTATTTAGTATTAATATAGTATCTCTTAATAGCTAAAAAGCTTAAGTAGTTATTTATAGACTACGTATCTAGAGTAATAGATAGTTTTATATCCTTACTAAGATTAGATAGTAGATTAGCTATGGCCTAGGTATACTAGTCTTAAAATATTAAATAGAATTTACTATAGTTAATTATTATAGTATTAGAATAAAGAAACTAGATAAATTATTAATAAGATAGCCGCTCTATCGTCTAAAAAGACTAGTTATTATTAATTACTACCTATATAAGTTCTTCTAGAAAAGCCTTAGAGGAGTACTATTAAAGTAAACTATAGTAATTAAGTCTAGTATAAGGGGGAATTATAATTTACTAGTATACTAGTAAAGTAATAGCCTAGTAAGACTAAGATTATAGGTGGTTATAAAGGTAGCTTATTCTTATCTCTTATAATATTAGATATTAGAGAAGTAAACTATATTTTAGGTAGAATATAAATAGGTTACTACTTAGAGCTTTAGCTGCTTTACTAAAACTACCCTAGACTTAGCCTGTATAATAATTAGACCTCTACTAAGGCTTTTCACCCTATAGAGTCTTAGCCTAGTTTATTTAACTCTACTATATATTTTACGCTAAGATAATCTCCTTCTCTTAGTTATTTATCTACCCTTTAAATAATAGATATTTAATAATTAAATAGTTAACTTACTAACCTTCTTAAATAAGTTATAGTACAGTAATTTTATATAGCTTAAAAATAGCTAGTAGAGGAACCTAAGATTTAGCTATTATAATAGTACTATAATAGTAGTAATATAATAAAAGTTTATAATAAATATATTTAGAGTAATAAAGTATAAATAAAAATCTAATAAACTCTTATATTTAAATAATAGCTATTAGTAACTTTTATTATTTTATTCTCTAGAATAACTAGAAAGATAGAAAATAACCCCAAGTAATTAAAAAAGAACTATTAGATTAATAAATATAAGGTTTATAAGTTAAAGTATTAATTAGTGTATAATAATTTAGATAAAATAAGCTAAGTAAGTATTAGAAGCTTTAATTAGCTATATAAGATCTACCTACTATCTCTTTATCTCTATATATAATAGGCACCTAATAGCTAAGTTCTAGTTATTATTAGAGAATCTCTTAAACTTAGACTTAATATCTATATTAATATCCTTATTATTAGTCTATATAGCGCTAGCTAACCCTTCCTTCCCTCTCTTATATTTATTATTATTATTATTCTCTTCTTTTTCTTTATTATTAATTTCCTTTTCGTACTTATTACTATTAAAACCTTCTATATATAGTCTATTATCTTCTAGTTCTATATTATCTTTAAACTAGTTATAAATTAGTAGAGGCTTAACTTATCTAGTAGAGATTAGTAATTATACATAATAAAGATCTATAATAACTTACTTCTAATTAGGATTAGTAATTAAAGTAAGCTCTTTAAGCGTTAAATTATTAATAAATATCTACTAGGCCTTCTTATTCTTCTTATATTTAAATAAATTACTTTATAGCTTAAGTAATTTAGTCTAGTATTTATCGCGTAGAAGCTTTTTAAGAATACTACTAGAACTATATAGACGAAGTAGTAACTAAGATTACCCTTCTATATTAGATAAGTCTAAACTAGTATCTAGTAGGCGCTAGAGGGTCTTCTAATATCGCCTTTAGTTAATCTTATTCTAGATCTTATGCTACTTCTTATACGTCTTAGTAAGGGCGTCTTTTATCTTCTTAGCTAATAATTATAAGTATATAACTATAGTAAATAATTATAATAACTAACTACTATACTTTTTAGTAAAGCGCTTCTCTATTAGCCTCTCCTCCTTATTGGTTAAGAAGTCTGCCCTAGCGACCTTAGGAAGGTCTAGATCG